ACACACACACATACATACACACACACATACACACACACATACACACACACACACACACACACACACACACACACACACACACACACACATACAAACCCAGATGATTACATAACCTCCTGGCGGAGGTAATAATAATTAGAAATTTGCATAGTTTGATTCGTTGCTATAGTTGGTTGCGCCAATTGTTTTTCCACCAGAAAAAGCAAAATTTCAAAGATTTGTGGATTGGTTTATCGCGAATATATGCCGATTTTTAGATATTTACTAGAAACACGTGCATGCAGCAACCCCACGCCCATATTTTCCAAACATTGCTTCAACATGAAGTGATCTCAAATTGCGGCACCACTGAACGCAGACTCGCATTTCCGTGACATGTTAAGGTACGTTTACACACAACGATTCATCGGACCGATTCAGATACATGACAAATCTATTAAATGCTTGTGTGGTGTTACTCTGAGTGTATATCGACACCGGGCAGGCTTGTAAAATATGCCTGGCCACTGTGGGGATCGAACCTACGACCTTTGGAATACTAGCCCAATGCTCTGCCAACTGAGCTACGCGGTCAGGTCGGTTCGAGTATGCGATATTTTGGAACTGAGTCTAATTCCTTCGATATCAGTGTATAATAATAATAATAATAATCTGTTTAATTAATCACATTGCAGTCTCTACTGAATTACATGATTATAAGTAAATACATTAAAAATTAAATTTACAAATAAAATTGAGTTCAAACCGTTCAATGTTCGTTCTGAATAGTCAGTTTAAATCTGTCCACATATTATAATTGGGTCCCTGAATTAATATACACGAGTACTACTAAATCAATAATACATTAATAATTATATTTGACAGTTATAAAATTTTGAAACCGTTCAGTGTTCGTTTGGAGTGACCAGCTTGATTCGGACCTAAGATTATAATTATGAGTATTTGGATGTATACCAGTTGCAACAACATCCTTAAGAGGATTTATAGGACCATTGTCAAGCTTCAATTTCCGAATAAATTGTTCACAGGAATTATGTCTACGCGTACTTAACTTTTTTAGACCAGTATAATTCAATGCGTCTTGATACGACATTTCGGGAAGCAAGATACGTAATGCTCTTCTCTGTATCGATTCAATAAGGTCAGACTGGCCTTGGGTTAGCGTTGACCACGCAGGTGAAGCGTACTCAATTCGGGACCGAATGAAGGAGGAATATATAGTGACAAGGTCTTTATCGCTTAACCCAGCCTTTTTTAACTTCCGCAATGCATAGAGTCTGGAATTTGCTTTTTTAATCACATAGTCGACATGATCACACCAAGATAGATCCTCTCTCAGTAGCACACCGAGCAGTTTAAAGGAGGATACTGATTGCACTGGCGAACCATCTATATATATCGCATTATCAAGTGGAAGGTGGTATTGGAGGAAGGATATTGTCATCTCCTTACATTTCTTACTGTCAAGCTTCATTCCTCTACTTGAGGCATACTGAGATACATCATTTACGAGAATAGGTAGCAAGCTAGGAGAGCAACGTGGAACAATTTCTAGTGCAGTAGCATCGTCTACAAACTTTATCCACCCATTCCAGTCCTGTAGGAGGAAATTGACCAAAATGGCAAAGAGAAGAGGGCCAAGTTTAGTTCCTTGACGTAGGCCACCGTTAACGGGTTTCCATCAGGAAAAGGATGGTCCGATTTTAACACACTGTTCGCGGGAGGTAAGGAACGACTTTATCCATCTTATAATGGCAGGACTCACTTGTAATTTTAAAAGTTCATCAATAATGACATTATGGTCGACGAGATCAAAACCTTTTTTGAAATCAGCAAAAAAGATCTTACAGAGCAGTGGCCTTGATCTAAAGCAGCATGAATCAAGTGGAGCAGATAAACGAGTGCCTGAGTGGTTGACTTTCCCGGAAGAGCAAATTGCTTTGGGTCCAATTTAAGACCCACTTCCGACATGAGGGACTGTAGCATAAATCCTTCCATCACTTTAGATACCTGAGCTGTGAGTGATATAGGTCTTAAATCGTCCTCAATAGTCTGAGGTGGTGACACTTTTGGAATGGGAACGACGATAGAACGTTTTAGCTGATCAGGGAAGACTCCCTGGAGCACTGATGTATTGTATATGTCCATTATGATAGGGGCAAATTCAAAAGCGAAGGTTTTCAGGATCCTATTTGGGATACCGTCTGGGCCAGGAGACTTCGTCGTTTTAAGACGTCGTAACACTGAATAAACTTGCCCTATATTTACGAGTAGATGGTTGGGAACTTCTGTCTCCTGGTCATCGGTGCATTCTAACAAGGGTTTAAAATGCGAAGTAAGTCCAACAAGATATCCGTTGTATGACTCAGCAAGGTCCTCACAGGTGGGGTTTACTTCAGAAAGTAGTTGATGTACCCAAGATTCCCGAGAAGAGAGGCCCCCTATGGATTTAACCTCTTTCCACCATCTGGAAGGGTTTGCACTTTTCAACTTCTGCACGGAATTGGCACAGTACTTTCTACGTGTCACTTTAACATCCCGTTGAACTCTATTGCGCCAAAATCTATATGCTTGTGATTTGTGATAATCTATATGAAGTGATTTTTGTCGCTTACTAATGGAGGACTTAAGCGATGACGTCATCCATGGTTTATCAGATTCCCTAACACTAGTTGGTTTATTGGTGTAATCTAATAATCATATTTGCTATGTCGATATATACTCAAAGCAACATCACACAAGCATCTTATTCACCTGAGTACATTACACCAACACAGCAAATATCATGATTATTAGATTACACTGATATTGAAGGAACTATAGACATATCGCATGCTGGAACCGACCTGACCGCGTAGCTCAGTTGGCAGGGCATTGGGCTAGTATTCTAAAGGTCGTAGCAGGGCGCTTATATATAGGGCGGCGCAACGAGAGCGTGCGCGCTGATCGACGTGTGATGCGGAAAAAAACCTGGGGCGAGTACGATTTTGCAGGAAATTGATGAAAACCGCGATTTTGAGTTGTTCAGTTCGTCTGGTCATTTTTCACAATCTTTTTGGTATTAGAATGGTTTAAATGGCAAAATGGCTAAAGTATTTCTTTGGCTAAAGGGTCTGTGTGCTGTAATGGTAAAATAGCTTGTACAAGAGAATTTATGGTCAATAATGTCCGTGCCTTTTTATGACTTCCATGGACACTAAATTTCAAATGCGGATATCTTGTGTGAATCTACTGCCAACACCTACGAACTAAGGTATGTTACAGTTCATTATTTTATGTGTACGTATTTGAATCTTTCATAAAAATTGAAGTGGATTCTTAGAAGATATCATAGCTGAAATAAGACCCTTTTTCAGGCCCTGTTTTTCCCATTTTTGCCGGTAATAGCTGAAATTCAGCCCGGGTTGAATTTTTTTCCATGTAATCGTAAAATTCATTTTATATTGAATTTATAGGGGCCCGGGGCTGAAATTTCATCCCGGTTTGCCGGACTTAAGTTTCATCCCGGGCTGAAAACCTCCATGTAATCGGCCCCTTAGATCAGTGGTCACAATTAGGTTAAAATGCGGAAGCGGATGGAGCGGATCCACGGAACGGATATGGGATAAAATATAGAACGGATGGGGATAAAATGCGTTCTTTTAATGATACAACGTCGTCGTGGCAGAGTTGCAAAATCTGTTCAAATTTCCTCCGGGTAAAATTTAAAGTTTTCAAACCTTCCTCAAAATAAATTAAATAAATATGGCTTTATCATATAGCAATATACTACAGTATATAAACTTAACTGGTGCTGAAAGCATAAAACACAGTACATGATTCTAAAAAATAAATTTGCCATAATAGCTTAATACTTTGGACAAATTGGACAGTCTTTACCTGCTACGTCTACATCCTATATCATATATCGAATATAAAGTAATATAATATTTAAGATAATATTTAAAATGTGATGTAAGCACTGTGTCACACATCTAAAAATTGAGAAATCAACAACTTCGTTTCCTGGTTGATATTGACAGGCGTGTTGCCCACTCTGAACAATTTGTCAACAAAACTTGCAACTATATTGTTGATTACTTGTTCATAGTAGGCAACACAACCTTCCTGTCGATATGAACTGACGTTGTTGATTTTATGCCTGTACACATATTATATAGAGATCAGCAGTAAAACCATGGCAACAACATTCCAGAGGTGGTATTTGATATTTCTGTAGTTGTGGTTTTGAAAGGCATTTGAGAGTGTTTAGGTCTTTAGAAGTGTGACCCAATCGCCCAATTTCACAATCAGCAAGGCAGCGAATGCTCTCAGGACTGGTCATAAAGTAGAAGGGGGGTGGGCTGGGAAAAATAGGGGGTGGGTCACTATTTTTGAGCATGGTTGAAGGGGTGGGTCATCGAAAGTTACGTGCAATCATAAGGGTGGGCCATGTAAAAATATGCAGAATTTTTTTCAAGGGCATGTGTATTAGAATTCATATTATAAAAATAGAAAACGTATCAGGTTCCATGTGTAAAATTTATACCGCAAACGTTAACCTCGAACTTAAAAGCTGAATTTACTGTCTTGGCTAATACGTTAGTAGTGGCTAACTAATTTTCTGATAATCATTATTGCTAAATGTCACGAGCTTTGTGTAGGATGTTTATTATGTAACAAAATTAGTGTAATTTCTACAAGAGCGTAATTAAATCACAAGCATTGTTAGCGGTTTGGCGTTAGCTGTAAATGTCAAACTAAAGGTCTCCAATTATGAGAAAGATACTGAATAATGCAGTATGCATGGAAAGTTGCATGCAAAGAAAGAACCTCTTTTAACATACAGACTGGGGAGGACATGCTCCCCAGCCCTCTCACTGGTCCCTCCAGTCGGCAATTTTGGCCCCCCCCCCCCC